ATTTTGTATCTATGATTTATTTACATTTGTTGTATAGTCTGTATCTTGCCCTCTAGAATTGTTGCTAAGTTTTTATTCGTTTGTCTCGGCAAGAGTGTACTTTGATAAGCTCATTGGTCGAATGATAACAATCTATGTGTAACGGGTCGATTTTTTAATATATTTCTCAATTGGCTTTATTTTTTTTCTGAAACACTTACGATAAGGTTATAAGTGTGATTCTACCCATTGGTTCCAATTTGCGGATTTCTGTACTCCATAAAACGCAAATTATTAATAATGTATGTAGCCAACGCTAAGTACGTATTTATTAGTTTACCTTCAAATCACTTTGAACGCGAAATATATTGGTGAACATTTCCGTCGCTTTGTAAATTGCTGCAAGTGCATCGGGCCATAGTTACAATAAGTTAATTTATTTCGTATTTTAGACCGTTAAAAGTATTTTATTATAATGTGTACTACAGACAATACATACGTAAAGGTATTTTTTAAAATACTTCTAGGTATATAAGGTTTTTTTATTAAACAGAATGACAGAGAAACATTACTTGATGTTAGATGAAACACCCCGGGCATATAACATCTAAATAAGATGCGTTATCGACCTATCTCGGCTTTGGATTTTCGGAAATCCACTGACTATACCCGAAACGCGATTAAACTTCACGGCTTTTTCATCCGTGTATAGTGGGCTATCACCCAATTAATATCTAGAATTTCCAGACAATGCCTAACTTGTTTTAGAAGAATTATAAATTTATTAGAAACATTTTGTATTTAAATAAAACACTTTAACGGTTTAAAACGCGATATATTAGTTAAACTTCGGAACTTTCGGATTCTTTGCACGTGTCTAGGGGATTTTTAATCTAACTGATCATACTGATAATCATACGCGTGCACGACAGGGTCTCGAACCGGCGCCCTTTTTACGACTTACGTATTGTTCTTGTTGGGTCTTGCATAAATCTGAGAAAAAAACGGCCAATTTCAAAGTATAATTCCGATATTAATTTGAGCTGTATCATTCCTAGATAAAAAAATCAAAATACATGACCATTCATTCAGTTCATGCAAATCGAACCCGCGATCCTTATGAGCCACTGCACCAGCGACCCACTTAATATTCTGTATCTATCTTTGATCTTGCACGAATAAATCTATATAAAAAAGAGACATTTAAAAGTATAATATAGATGTGTTGTGTGTATTTCGTTCAGTACTAGTGAAGTTTTCAAGTGGAAATCACGTGTTAGGTGAGTTTTTCCATTTTCCAAAATAGATTTTAATAGAGCAAGGTTGTTTACATTATAATAATCAGTACTTATCCCCTATTACTCAGTTGAAATGTGCGGGTAACGTCCTAACTTCGATGTCATGACACGGTCGCGCGTTGGTGTTATCGTTCGATCCCCACCGAGTCCATCATTTTCTGTAATTAATTAATAATTTGGAACACATTGTCCTTCTGGAAATCTGGTTATCAAATGGGTAATAGGAATATCGGAATTCCATCCCGGTCACGAACCACCGTCCCTATAAAGTAAAAAGCCGTATAATCGCGTTTTCAGTCTGTAGATTTGTGAAATCCAAAGCCAAAATAATGTAAGCTCCTATTATAATAGAAATGCCCATGTTGCAGTAAGTCCGGACTCCTGGGTAATCAGGATTGTTTATACTAACTCTGTGATTATTTTAAAAGACGGAGGTCCTGCGTTCTATTTAATGGTAGGCAAGGAATTCTATTGGGTACTATTTATCGACACGAGTAGCCGTATAACCTAACCTAACACAAATTTAAAATATCTGAATAGAAATTTGACTGTATATTTTTTGACAGAGCGATCAAATTTGGAAACTAATAAATCGTTTGAAAACTTTAATATGCACATAAAGGCACTATATAATTTAAAAATCGAAATTGTTTTCAATTTATTTTCGAATTTTAAATTAACTAATAAATTGTGTAAGGCTTTCACGGCCATCGTTCACCATATCATCGTTTTTCGGGCTGTTCGGCCGATGCGAGCGAGAAGAAGTTCTTGACGTTTCGCCATCACGTGTGGACGGCATCATCAGGATATGTTAGCTCCTCGATTGCTCGAAGGATTGAGAGTCGTCGAAAACCTCTCGCTCACATCAGCCGAACAGCCCGAGAAACGATGATAAAAGTGAAAACAGTTCTCGGAAAAGTTAATTATTAAAATTCGTACCATAGCTTTGAAATCGGTAAGTAGGTTGTACCTATTTACCGTTAAAATCGTATTCGACCCAAAAATGTGAATTTGACGCCATTATCTTAACATGGCTTATATCATCGGTCAGGACACAATGATTCGATCCTATGTCCCATTCTCTCGATTGGGGACGTAAATGCGTTTTATCATAACGCATCGTTGCATTGTAAGCACGATTGATTGTGATAACATTGTAGTTAGAATACAAGTACCGCCTTCCGCCTTTACTTAAGATGCAATATCATTTTAAACTCTTAATGTCCCAATGCTGGGCAAGTTCGGACCTACCACTGTGTCAGTGCCGCTCTTGCAAGTTGATCGGAAAAGATAGACACATATTGTCGTAGACTTTCTTTTTGATTTAAAGAGGAAATATTTCAGTTTCGTTTCTTGAACCGTTTTCGTAGTGCACGCAAGGAAAGCCGTCAGAGATGGATAATTTTCTCCGTTTTTACCACATTTTCCACTGCTGTGGAAAATGTGGTAAAAACATGCATGAAGTTATTTAACCTAAAGCATTCTAGATAAATACAACTAACTCTAAAAACAATTCAATCCGAACCAGTAGTTAGTGAGATTAGCGCGCTCAAACAATCAAATGAACTTTTCAAATTTGATCATAACTGGCACCGAAGGTTTAACGAGATCTCCGGACATGATGTCACCAGTTGGAACTTGGAAGTAGCTTTCAAACTCCGCGCTTGTACGAGAAATTTCCTTAGAAGTCCCCAAATACCTAAATTTAAACATAAATTTACTTAAATACTGTCTATAGTTTACGCGAGTAGTACACATTTAAATAAAACACTTTAACGGTTTCAAACGCGATATATTATTTAAACTTATTTGAAAAAGATTTTTAACTTTGGCCCGACGTTTCGGATGCTTTGCAGCAGCCGTGGTCACGAGGACCGTTAAAGTGTTTTATTTGAATAAATTTACTTTCTAGAGATAAAGGAAAAAATATCTGGGGAATAAAACAAATGACAGTCAGATCTGTGCTCTAACCAATTGAGCTACCATGAAACGGTCAAGTCCGTGTCGTATTTGTTCAATTTAAAAAAGATGAAAGGGAAGTCTAAAGACGACGAGGCGCCTAATATCGGAAAATAGGTGTCGCCAGGGACCACAAGTAGGCAATAATGGTGTCCCACATAATTTCGCTACACTCGCAAGGCCACAGAAATCGGATATGTTTAATATCGAATTACATTCCCAGTGTGTTCGTAGAAAATTCTATCCAGTTCTTGGAAATGGCTGAATCAAACACACGTTTATTCGACTAAGCATTACACGCTGTTCAGACTAATTATTCAGCGCGGCGTTGCCCGTCTTCGCAAAGTTGTCGGGAAGAAAAAAGCGACGGTATACATTATATACAAAATCATAAAAAGCGTTTTAAATATAATTACGCGAGTAAACAATAATAAACAGTGAATTTTACTATTTTGACGGTTTAAAACTTGAAAATATATTTATTAACTTATGTTAACATTTTACCTTAACTGACAAATTTAGGCGTTTTAAACCGTAAACGATGTTTTATTTAAACGTTATTCTTGACTGTAATATTTGCCATAAAATTCCTTTTTTTAATAAGCATAGGGTACACTTGATGTAGGTGAAATGGCATCTAAACAAGATGCGCTGTCGGCCTATTTTTGCTTTGTATGTTCGGAAATCCACAGACTAAAGCCGAAAAGTAATTGAACTTCACGCCTTTTTCTTATGATAACGGTGAGATAACCGAAAAATATGTATGAAAGAATGATTCCCCTTTAAATGACATGAAGAAATGCGACAATATATGTATATCTTTTAAGATAAACTTGCAAGGACGACGGAACGCGACTAACGTCGAAGGTAACTGCTTATTTATATAAAGATGAAGTGGGGGCTTGCAGAAACATTTCTTTTTGCCCAAAATTATTATACGCGGACAAAGTCGCTGACATAGCTAGTCATAGCTGTTTAAGGAAGCGTTTCGTATTACTGGCGTCAATGTTATGTTTGTTGACACTTAAATTTGCAAAATCACAAAATTCCTGTAACGAATATGGAATTATAACTATTAACTAATACGCATTGTGCACGTGCATATTTTCCAACACATCAGTTAAATACTGTCTGCGGTTTACGCAAGTAGTACACATTCAAATAAAACACTTTAACGGTTTAAAACGCGATATATATTAGTTAAACTTGTCTGATAATGATTTTTAACAACGGCTCGACGTTTCGGATGCTTTGCAGCAGCCGTGGTCACAGTCGATATATATCGCGTTTTAAACCGTTTAAGTGTTTTACACATTAGTTTTTACTGTGCCATAGTGTATCGTTGATTTATACAAAGTATAAAAAAAGTCGCTTCGTAGTTTAAGAATTAGTAAGCCCATATATTTTGCGTAAGCAAGTAAGTAAGCGTTGTTTAGGGGACAGGAAACACGCTAAAGAATGACATGGTTGAAAAAATTCGACGCTGACGTTTAGGACACGGTAGCTCAATTGAGCAACAGCACGTTCCCGGGGCTGCCGGTTCGAGTCCTGCCCGTGCCGTATTTTTTTTTCAATCTGAACTTTAATTTAATTAAAAAAATGGGTTAAAAATTAACGTCTTATAAATACTGAGTACTCATTAAATAAATAATAGTACTTTACTGAAGCCAAAATAGGTCTACATCTTGTTAAGGTTTGACGCTATTTCATCTACCATCAAGTGAACAGTACAAAACATATTACCTTACAGGTCCAAACATAAAGATGGCGGCGCGAGAATTTCAAATGGACTCCTGCGCATCATTTCAAATTCAAAAATGGAACGCGGAGGAGCTTATTTCGATTGCAATACATTTGACGTACATAATACTCCGCGCGATAGTGGACGTATTATGTCTATTTTCAACTGAGTTTTTATTATCAGTGATATTGTTTAGTATTCTCTATGCTGCATACAGAGCGTATTTGAGACCGCCATTTTTAAAAAAAGTAAGTACATATTATGTATGTTTGAAGAATTTTAGATAGATACTGTCTATAGTTTACGCGAGTAGTACACATTTAAATAAAACACTTTAACGGTTTAAAACGTGACCACGGCTGCTGCAAAGCATCCGAAACGTCGGGCCGAAGTTAAAAATCATTTTCAAATAAGTTTAACTAATATATCGCGTTTTAAACCGTTAAAGTGTTTTATTAGAATTTTAGATATTTTATATTAATATATATAGCTGAAAAGTTAGTTTGTTCGTTTTAACGCGTTAATTCCAAGAACTACTGGTTCCAATTGAAAAAATAGCTTAGAGTTGGTTAAATCATTTCTCGAGGAAAACTTCACGCTATAAAACATCAGGGCGTGACCGTAAGGAGCGAAGATACAGGGGATAATGTCGAAGAAACGGGGAAAATTGTTCATCTTGGAGAGATTAAATAGGCGGTAGGAGTATCGCAATTCTGTCCGAGTCACGTCCGTCCCGTAGTCTACACAGATGAAGAGCCGTGAAGTTTAACTAATATATCGCGTTTTAAACCGTTAAAGTGTTTTATTTAAATGTGTACTACTCGCGTAAACTATAGACGTCACTCACAGTTTTTTTTTCAGGAACTAACAGATATAGGCTTCGACCACGTGACCCGAGGTACTAAGGGCGCGAACAGGTCCTTGCAGATCGCCAGATCGCAAATGAATAGACAGCTGGGGGGGAAAGTACCCCCTCCGTACCCAAACGGTTGGTACGCGCTGGCGGAGAGTCGAGATTTGAGCGTGCGCAAGGTGATACCGGTAGATGCATTAGGTAAGTTATCTTATTTAAATAAAACACTTTTAACGGTTCAAATGCAAATATATTAATTAATGCTCCATGTTTCGGATGCTTTGCAGCGGCCGTAGTTATTAAGAATAAGTTAACTAATACATTTCGCGTTTTAAACCGTTCAATGTAATGGTAGATGAATTGGGTAATTTATCTTTTTTATATAAACACTTTTTACTGTGTGTACGCGAGTAGTAAAAATTTCAATTAAAAACACTTTAACGGTTTAAAATGTGATATATATATATTTAGTTAAACTTATTTGGAAATTATTTTAACTACGACCCTACGTTTCCGTGGTCACATTGAGACTAATAATGGATAGTGTCTCTAATGTTAAAGTATAAACTGCTACGCTGATCTATATGTGTACTCGCGTAAACTACAGTTTTTAGAAATAAATCTCCTAATATATGTCTCGTTTTGAACCGTTGTATACATACAGCTTTAAAATTATAATTTTATTTACAGGTCTAAACCTCTGCATCTACCGAGGTGAAGATGGTGTTGCCAGAATCGTGGACGCGTATTGCCCCCATTTGGGTGCGAACATTGGGGTCGGTGGGACGGTTAGGGGCAACTGTATTGAATGTCCCTTCCACAATTGGCAATTTGGAGATGATGGTATCTGTACTCATATACCAGATATACAAAATGGTGAGAAACAGAACGCAAGTACGATCTAGTTTTCAGATTAAGCGAGACAGACACATATATGTCTGTTTCACTGCACATCCTGCGTTTACCACAGCGCTAGATGTCGGAAATAAGAATTCCGACTTTTGCCAGGGTCGTTTTAATGGTAGCGATGTATGGCTAGTAATCAACGGTTCGTGAGTGTGGGGATCGACCACAGAGTCAAACATGTTGGACTTCGTCTGGAAATTAAATGAGTGGTAGGAATATCGAAATTCCGTCTGGGTCCGTTTCGGTCTGTGGACTTCCGAATATCCAAAGCCGAAATAGGTCCACATAGGTCCAGGGTTTAAATGCTATCGGCTGGTGAAGGTCAAGTGAAGCCATGTTTGTCTGCTCTATCATCAAAGTACGAGAGAGTATTATAAGCTTAACCACACCACATTGTACCAGTGTGGGTTGGTGGGTTTTAAGACCATTTCATTTGAAAGAATCTTCTTTTTAACTACTTCAGCTAAAGCCAGTATATGATTAAAACTAATTAGACTACTTAATAAGATACTATATTTGTTATTATATCATTCAAGTCCCACAGTTGGACTATTTGCTGATCCAAACATCTTTTCAGTCCCAAAAGGGATTTCCATCAGGAGTTGGGACTGTATGGAGGTGGATGGTGCTGTATGGGTCTGGTATGATGCTGAAAAGCGTCCCCCGTTATGGACCGTCCCGCCACTAGATGAGATTAAAGATTGGGGTTATAGGGGAAGGAACGAGTTTATCATCAGTTCTCATATACGAGTAAGTAATGTAGAAATTCTAGTAATACTACTATATTTAAATAAAACACTTAACGGTTTAAAACGCGCTGTATTATTATTAACTTATTTGAGATTAATTTTACTCGTTTAACTACGGGCTGTCGTTTCAGATGCTATGCAGCAGGCGTGGCCACGGGGAGACTCCAAATAAGTTTAACTAGTATATGTCGCGTTTTCAACCGTGAAAGTGTTTATTATATGCCTTTTAATTATTTAATTAATGGCATTTTATAGGATATCCCGGAAAACGGCGCAGACGCTGCTCATCTGAATTGCATCCACAAGATGTCATTTCTGACAGACATCGGGAAGAGACTACCGTTTTTGAACAATATTATTGGTAAACAAAATTTTTTTTGGACGTGTACAAACCACAATCGCTTCTGGGTTTGAATTTCAAATCATTTAATTCATATACACAAAAATATAATAACATAAATAATAATAGATGTACAATGCTTTGCAAACTTTTTGGCCGGGCTGAAGTTACTGCGGATGGTTGCGCAGAACGCAAAAAGCAGGTATCAGTTGTAACAATGGAGGTGCGCTGGTGCAGGGGGACTCGACTTTTTTGTTTAGAATTGACAGTACCATGCGCAAGATGGCGGTCGCGCTAACTCCAGCCCGGCCAAAGAGTTTGGTATTGTATGCATTTTTCATGAATCTTTCAGGTTTTCACACTTGGCAAACGGATTGGCGCAGAACAGACGATTGGCATATAGCTGAAATGACAATAGACCAAAGTTATTTCATGTTCAAACATAACGTTTTTCCCTTCAAGATTCGAGTAAAACAGGTTAGTAAATGACATTTAAAATGTATTTCTTAAATGACATAGGCGAGACTCGAACTTACGACCATGACACCCTCGCTTTGATTTAACTAGTAAACTAACATGTAGACAAAATTTTTTTCGAATATTACGAATATATCAAACACTTTAATAGGTTTAAAATGCGAAATATATTAGTTACTCTTCTTTTAACTACGGCCAGACGTTTCAGATGCTTTGCAGCAGCCGTGGTTACGGAGAGACTAAATAACATTAAAGACACGCTCCATCTATAGTCCCCCGTGACCGCTGCTGCAAAGCATCCGAAATGTCAAGCCGTACCTAACATAATTTTCAAATAACTGTAACCAATATATTTCGCATTTTAAACCGTTAAAGTGTTTTGTATGTAGTAAGTAGAGCAATAATACTCATTTAAATAATGAGTATTATTGCTCTACTTACTACATTAATATTTATTGGTAGCAACGTGAAACTGGCGGGCCGTGGGTTTGATTCTTATCTTGTAAACTTTTTAAATCTAAATTCAAGGCCTAAAGACTGATCTAGAAAGTCTGGTCTGGTTATGAAAAAAATTATGTCTGTGCTTAATATATGAATACCTTTTTTTTTTAATTAAAGACAGGCATGAGGTTTATTTGATGGGAGGTAAAATATGCAGCCATAAAATGTGTCGTAGACCTATTTTCCCTTTGGATATTAGGAATAGAAAAACTTTATCTTTGTTTAAAAATCGATTAGAATTTTTTTATTATGGTTGAAATTACATTGCGCGAGAGGTGCATAAGTTGAAAAAATTCGACGATGAGGTGTAGGACTCGGTAGCTCAATTGGTAGAGCAACAGCACGGAGAGCTGACGATGCCGGTTCAAGTCCTGCCCGGGTTGAAAATTTTTTAAATTTATTTTCGATTTTTAAATAATACTAAAGTTTTTAACTTATCTTTGATCTCAGATAGGTCCGTCACATGTCCGCCTTCTCTTCACCTCGATCTTCGGGGAGACAGCAGTTCTTCAGTCTGTGACACCGATCGGGCCGATGCTGCAGAAAGTGGTGCACAGGATCTACACTCCTACGAGTAATGCCATCGCCGGAGCCTTACTGGTATACGCTGAAGCTCGCCAGGTATGGGGTAGACACATTTATATGTCTGTGCTACTAAATTCACTTATACACTGTCTGTATATTACGCGAGTAGCACAAATTTTAATAATACACTTTAACGGTTTAAAACGCGATATCTATTAGTTATTAATAGAAAATAGCAAACACAAAGACACCGTTAGTCAATTCTGCAAGGACCTGGCCAGTTTCGCCAAATACCAACTTCGACGGAACAGATGGCGCTAGCGTCCTTAGTCTCCCCGTGACCACAACTGCTGCAAATCATCCAAAACGTAGGGTCGTTTTTAAAATAATTTGATAAATAAGTTTAACTAATATATTTCAATTTTTAAACCGTCAAAGTGTTCAATTTAAATCTGTGGTTCACTGGACTATCTATTGTTCGAATAATCAGTATGATATTTTTTTTTAGTTTGAACGCGACGTCGTCATTTGGAACAACAAGACGCACGTCAGTTCCCCGCCTTACGTCAAAACCGATAGAACAATTAGGGCGTTCCGAGATTGGTTTTCGCAGTATTATAGTGAACAAAGCATCTCCATGAGGGACGCGATACAAAAACCTTTAGACTGGTGACTGAATATGGTATTTACCCCCTTGTGGGGCATGGGGCGAACACATTTTTGTGTTCGTTTCACTAATCCGTTCTTGAACAGGCAAGTAGCTGATCAGACTTCTGTGCCCTGCCCGACCGGAACATTTTTTTTGTTTCCCTGGGATTCGAACCGATGAGCTCTCGCGCTGAACGCAATGCTAGGCATACGTTTAACCATTTGGCTATTCGAAAATCGCTCGGTTTTTTTTTGCCTTTTTTGTTGGATAATGAAATTCTAAACAACGTTCTTATGTGTTGTAGGTTGATGTCTTAGCTATAAGTAGGTATTAAAATATTTATTTAGAAATAGTTAATTTACCAAGTATAAAATATTGTATATACATCAATATTATTAAAATATTACTGGGCTCAAAGACTGCTTGTAAACAAACAATTATGAAGATAATGTATGATGTTGACTTCTTCTTAAATAAAAGATTTGAAACATCAATTCGTTTTATTTTTATTTCTTATTATATATAAGTCAATATCTTTGAAGAGTGGTTTGGCCAAATTTTAAATTCACAAATGGCAACACAGGTTGCATCTTCCTGGTCTCCCGCCATGCGCCGTCCGCCATTTTGTTAACTAGCTGTCAGTCACGTGTGCAGTTCAAAAGCGTCTGTCCTGTTTATTTTAATAAATATTCGCCATTTTCGCTGTTCCGCTTTCTGTAAGAAAGACATCAGAAGACGCAGTTTCGTGTCCTTCCCATGTAATTATATTTTACGCCGTGCTCCGTTTTATCGTTATAACTTCTATTTTTTAAATATTTTTAATGAAACGTGTACACATTATATACTTTGTGTTATTGTGTGTTGCAATAAAATAAATAAATTATTATTTTTTTCAATTTATAATGGATTTTTTTAAATAGTGCCATTATGTGCATAATAACGTGAAAAATATTTATGTTTCCATCTATATAGCTTACATATACTTATTAAGAGTTTTTTTTTACTTTAATAAAAAATTAATGGTTTAAAACGCGGAATATTTTACTTATCTTATTCTTAATATATATAAACTGCCGCCAGTCGTTTCGGGTGCTTTGCAGTAGTCGTGGTCACGGGGTCACTGAAGATAGTGGATGTCAAATCTACTACGCTAGCGCCATCCGTTTCGACGTTTTTGATATTTGGAAAACTGGCTGGGTTCTTGCAGAACTGATTTACTGTGTCCTCTCGTTTACCGGATGCTGTTTATTTAGTGTTTTTATACAGCTATTACGTTTTAAACCGTTAAAAGTATTTTATTTAAATGTGTATTAACAGCCAATACTTAGCTTTTTTTCTACCAATTATTAACTAATTAATAATTATCTAAATACTGTCTATAATTTAGGCGAGTTTACATTTAAATAAGACACTTTAGCGGTTTAAAACGCGTAATATATTATTTAAACTTATTTTGAAATGATTTCAACTACGGCCCGACATTTCCCGTGATAAATGCCGTTCATCATTTTTTAATAAGTTTAACTAATATATTTCGCGTTTTAAACCGTTGCAGTGTTTTAAAAAACCAATATTTTGTATGGTCGTTTATTTTTCTTCTTCAGAGGACGTCTCCGGCGTTGTGCTTTTCGGTTTCGGCTTAGCATTGCCAACCAATAGTTTAAGGTCGAATTTCGGTGCATCATCAGGTAAGGATTCCAAAGCGAGGATAAGTTGGTCTATCTCCACCTCAAGAGCTCGTATTTCTTCTAATCTGATAAATGGAGAATACAGGACATGAGTACTTTGGATATTCCAAAATCCACAGACTGAAGCCGAACGCGCGCTTTTTCAACATTTCCAGACGAAATCCTACATGGTTTATAAACATTACAAATTAATAAGAAAATTATTGGGTCCGGTGGGAATCGAACCCAAGAACGTTGATTACTTACCACACAAAACTTATTGGCCACAAAGGTAATGGTTTTACGTTATTAATTTATCCACAGTAAAATATTAATATAATAATACAATTATGAATATAAAACACTTTGAATGGTTTAAAACGCGAAATCTATTACTTGACTTAAGTATTTATATAAGTTTCTGACGGATTGTAGCAATTCAAACAAATTAAAAAAAAATAACAAATACAATTCGCGTTTTAAACCGTTTAAAGCACACTACATAAAGCTGAAGAATTTGTTTGTTTATATTAGTTTCAGATTTTGTTTCTACCAAGGCCTCTGATATACTTATTTAATTCACTTTTCTAAGGGCAGACACTTAACTGTGTCCGTTTAACTGATCAACTTTACGCGCAAGTAAATCTACCTTCCATGTTCTCTTTGTCAAAAATATTATTTACTAGCTGTGCCCGCGACTTCGTTCGCGTGGAATAGTGACTTGGGGTAGAATTTTTAATTATTTAGGCTGTTTATTAATTCATGTAATTGCGCATTTTGTCGCAGCCAAACTATGTTGTAAGTGCTACTTTGTCGCAACACTCACACCTCACATCACTCCTAAGGTAGGTGCGGCCAATAAGGCCTGTCGGGTAATAAGGCCTAAGTACTAGAAACATAACTTTGAGTAGACCCCGCCAGCTGACTTCACAGTCATAGGTAGCTAACAACCTAAGATGGTGCCCCAAACATGTCGCGACTCGCAGGCCCGCATGGTTCCTAAAGTGTGGGGTCACTAATCGTGGCCGGCGGACGCATATCTCGAATAATAATATGACGGTCGAACAAATCGTAAATATTTTATGAAAAAAAAAAAATTTTGTACGTTATTTTGCAGTTTTACATCATTTTAGTTAATGTTTTGAAGACCTGTGCTGTAGAAAAAATTGTAAATTACACGAAATCATTTTATTTTAAAAATTTCTTGACAACGTGGTCAGTGGTTAATAAGGCCTATGAAAATCGACCCTAGGCCTTATTACCCTCCTTAAAGTATTATCAAGTGATTACATAATTTAGGTCTTTAGAACTACTATTACAGAAATTAGAAGCACCAGCTCCTTTTCCAGACGTTGTCGATGTAGAAAATTTACCACCTCGCACTCCATTAAGGCAAATGGCTCCCGAGACGCCTCAGTCATCGACACCGAGGCAAGAACAAACAAATGATCATACCAAAAAGATCCTCCAACATGTTTTACAGAATGGTTTAAGGTAGATCCAGCTCTGATGATGAGGATAATGTACCCTTCGCTCAAGTAAAAAGAACATCATTTAAGCAACTCCTGCCTACACCAGCTAAAAATACAGAAAAGACATCAACAGTCAGAATAAACGCCATCAATTCTGTAATTGATGGCGTTTATTCCTCTGTAGGAATACCAGTTAGCAAAGAGCTGTCTAATAAGAACAACGTTGTCGCGCATGCCACCAGGACCAAGAGACTGCTATGAGGATGTGTCACAAATGCAGCAAGTGGTACCACGAGGAGTGCGTGGGTTTGTCAGAGGATGATTTTGAGTCGTCGAAGATGTTGAGTGTCCAGATTGTTCCTAATTTGAAAAATAATGTTATTTTTAAGCCTTTACTGTGTGATTATCGCATTACAATATTTTATTGATCTCAAATACTAAATATAAGAAGTTTATTTCGTTTATTTTTGAAGTTTAAAGTCTTAGGCCTTATTATACTACCATAGTTTAATAAGGCCTAAGTACAGTGTTTTTTAAAAGCAGTAATTAAAACTATAATTATAGCATAGGTTGCTGTTTTCCGTTTTTATTTGATAGTTATTAATATAAAAGTTTAAATTACATTAAAATTTGTTGATTTGTTTTAACAGTTTTTGATTTATTTCAATTCCTGCTTAGCTAGGCCTTATTCGCCGCACCTACCTTACTCTAACTCCCACTCCCACTCCTATTCCCGAAAAGCCAAATAAGAAAGTTTCATTGTTCTAGCTTCAAAAACCACGAATTTCCATACAAACTACCCCCCCCCCCTTTCAACCCCCTTTTCGCAAAAAAAGCCTATGTTCTTTCTCAGGGTCTAAACCACCTGAGAACCAATATTTATAGTAGTATATAGGAAGGTTTTTTTTTAATTCAGATCAAAGTACCTGATAATATAATGCAACGGCCTCCATGGTTCTATTCCTGGCAGAAGGATTTTAGCTGCACCTGTGTATCTGTTCCTCGTCATTCTGTACAACTCCATCATTGACCTGTACTTTTCACGAATTCGTCCTGTTACAAATTGATATCATTAAAAATAGAAATGTGTAAATTTATAACATTTTTAGAACAATTGCGTAAAGCGAGAGGTCTTGGGTTCGAATCCCAGAGAAACAAAAAACTAATTCGGTCGGGCAGGGCACAGAAGTCTGATCAACTTGCTTGTTAGAACGGATGTGAAACAGACTCGGAAATGTGTTCGCCACATGCCCCAAAGGGGGGAAACGGGATTTCACGCACAAGGATCTCGTGATATAAAAAATGTGCTCCAATGTCTACGAACGTTAGAAAATTATTATTATTCAAGACGGTTTAAAACGCGAATTATACAATACGCATTTTCACGTTTTAAGCTGTGTAAATGTTAAAGTTATTGATGTTTTAACTTTATTGACGTTTAAATAAATCACTTTAACGGTTCAAAACGCAATATGTGTATATATATATATTACTTAAACGTATTTGAAAAAATTAACTACGACCCGACGTTCCGGATGCTTTGCAGTCACGACCAAGTTGAAAAAAAAAAAGTTTAACTGATATATATCGCGTTTCAAACCGTTACAGTATTATAATGTACACTACTCGCGTAAACTACAGACAGTGTTTCTATAATCAATAAATGACTGACTTTCTTGTTTTAATTTTAACAAATAGACTGGTTGAGTTAATAAAGCCAACAGCGTACCCATTAGCGTGCCAACACCAAACGCCGTGAATGGACAAGCCTCGTCTTTCAAGCCGTCTACTTGTTTGAGTTTCATTCGAGCGTCCTTATAAAGTTCGTAAGCTATATTTTTAAGCCGGACTTTGTCGTTGGTTCCCATGTAATCCTTGACTTTATAGCGGTAGTAATACGATGTAGTGTAGCCTAACGTGCATCGGAGAGCTTCAAAGAAGAATTGTTAGCAGTTGCGAGCGGTACGCCTCAAATAAAACACTTTTAACGGTTTAAAATTTAATATTTTCCATACTGCACATGATGGTATTAAAAAAACAAAAAATCGAATTTAGTTTGAAGCAGGGTTCGAACCGCCATCCACAGCGTTCCGTGCTATTGCCCAATTAATTTTTTTACCCAATCTTAAATCGATTTCAATTTACACTTTTAACCGTTTAAAACGCGAAATGTATTAGATAATTAATTTTTACCATCTACTAATGCCATCCATTTATAGATTTGGCTTTAACAAGGTCATAGTTACAAATTAGTTAATTAAAATATTTCGCGTGTGTTCAATTTATTTGTATTATTGTTATAGATATCTGCATTATACGGAGATCGAACCCTGGACCTATCGTAGACTATAGCTGTTCATCTATATACCAAAATGTTAAAATTACTTACTGGAAAATATTACAAAAACACTTAACAGATTCATTATTATTTTAGCACTTGCGCACAATTTAAGGAGGTATAAAACACATTTGATGTGTACGTTTTAATTAAATCCAAATCTAATTCAAACCCTGTGTCGTAATTTTTTTCTACTTATAATCGATTTTTATATTGCTATCTTGTGCGTAAAATGTTGCTCAACATCGGGCCGTAGTTGAAATCATTGTCAAAAAAATAGAGTTTAACTCATATATATCGCGTTTCAAACCGATAGTGTTTTATTTAAATGTGTACTACTCGCATAAACTACAGACAGTATATGATAAAGTTTTATAAAATAAAGCTATAATGATTGAAATACCCATGTAAATGCAATATTTATTAAACATAGCGGTTCCCACACAGTACATCGAACGATTTTAGACCGAAAAGCAAATATCTGCAATAACTTCCCCCTTTAGACCCTCACTTTATTCTTCCTCTCCATCAGCCTGATCATATCTATCAAGTTGGTGATCTCGATTGCCTTATTGGCTATCTGCTCGTACGCATTGATATGTTCCATAGGCCGCCAGTCGTCGTACAGCCGCTTCACAGTCAACGATATGTCTGTCATTATATTAAACTTGTCTGTAATGTCGCCGATCATAAAACCTGGAAATAGATAAAGTTTGTCTGAAATAATCTGAACTCTTAATATATTCGCTGTTTTTACATCTAAAAAATATATATATAACCCGTCGATGTTTAAATCTTATTCGTGATTAGTTTTCATTTCAATTATCATGAGAAGAATTCCGGTATAACATGAGGCTGCTAGAGGCAGAGTAGCCCAACTGCAATTTTATCACTCGACTTATTTATATCTTCATAGTTCAAAAATGTTAATCTACAAGAGCACAGTGACCGAAAATTATTAACATAATTCTTTCACAAATAATAGTACAAATTTGGTTTCGTCTAAGTTAATTGTGCATTTTTATTTTCCTCACTGAAAATCTTGTTTTTGTTATTAGGCCACTCGGCCTCTAGCAACCTATGTTTGCCAACTTTACTGAACCCTGCATCTGTGCAAATCCGTTTCACTCTTGACCACTTTTTACCTTACCTAAATCAAATGACGTTGAATTTGTATAATGGCGTCTTATTAGTTCCGCCCTTCGCACTTTGAGATCGCTGTCTCGCACTGTCTCGTACATCAAACGGAATAATTTCATCTTCATAGAATCCTCGGTCTTTGTAACACCTTCTCGAAGGTAGGATATGCCAACTCGTCGCTCACGATAGTCCTAGAAACCATTTGTCTGAATATTAGGGAATTAAAAATCGATTTAAACCGTACCGTGTACCGTACGATACGGTAGCTCAATTGATTTTTTTAAAATCCTATCATGCGCAACAATATTAAGGCTTTCAAATGCATATAAAAGTTTAATATTTTTTACATGATTATAAACTGAAAACATTTACGACTCGGGCAGAACTTGAACCGGCATTGTCAGCGTTAACCAATTGAGCTACCGTGTCCCATACATCGTCGTCGAGTTTTTTCAACCTATATATATTTCCACGTCTCAAAAAAAATATTTGTAATTTATAATCGATTTTAATTTAAATAATTTATTACCTTCAAAACTTTAAGCTTAGTGCCCCATGATAGATCATTGATGATGCTACTTTGGGTCTTCGGTATGTTCAAAGCAGCTGTCGAAGCTGAAAATGTATTTAGAATTCTTAACACTTAAAATTTTACAAGACTGAAAAAATATTATGAGTTTGGTTTTTCTTTATTACAGGTTCGTGTTCGAATATCCGAACTTTCGCTTACCCAAAGGCGTTTTACTATATTTTTTTTTATACTAATACAAAGACATGAAGTTTAAAGCAAATTTCATTAGTATAGTTGCGACACGAGTACATTTTAAATACTGTCTATAGTTTACGCGAGTACACTGCGACCATGGCTGCTGCAAAAGATCCGAAACGTCAGGCCGAAGTTAAAAATTATCTTCAAATAAGTTTAACTAAAATATCGCGTTTTAAACCGTTAAAGTGTTTTATTTAAAGGAGTACATTTTATTTAGAAACAAAAGACTCTTGACACTTTTGACAATTGTATTAACAGTTACATAGATGGGAGCGAACAGTTAAAAAGTTAAATACTCGAATTAATATAAGATACAAAATGGGTTGAACTTATTTTTCCAAATAATCAATTTATTCAATTAGTACGCTGGTTTAATTAAAACACTTTAACGGTTTAAAACGGCTGCTGCATCTAAAACGTCGGGCCGTAGGTTAAATAATTTTCAACTAAGTTGAACCATTATATATCGCGTTTTCAACAGTTAAAGTATTTTATTTAAATGTGTCGCGTAAACTGCAGCCAGTATTCAGTACGCTGGTGTTGGTGTTGGAGGTCCCCACCAATAATCAATCTCCCATCCATACTCCAACGGCCACCACCATCTCGTTGACCGCTTCCTCGTCGATCCAGTCATTAGTGCATCCAACTTCCATTTGAACCGCATCTTCTCTTCTCTTCTCAACTTCTTCTGCTTCTGCCGCGCCGTCGGCATAAACAGCGTTGTCATAGTAGCTTCTTCTTCCGCAGGATCGAGGGTCGTCGTCTCCAAGTAATCTGGCACGAAATTCCGATTATCTTTTATCCTGTACTTCCTCTCTATCTCGTGTATCATTCCGTAAAGGTGATCTATATCCCAGTACAGGTGTTCCAGTTCCTCTAAGTACATAATATGTTCCATAAGGTGTAAATCGGTCATCATCGTTGCGCTGGTGTTGTATTTGTCAAGCATCATTCTGTATTTTTCTTGGATGATAAAAGTGACGTATCCGATTTCAAACGCGGCGCAGTTGTGAATGTGTTTCTTGATGTAGGTGATAAGCTTGATGCGGCGTATGTCGTCTTTGATGATCGAGTCAGTGGTGTTGATGATCATCTTGGCTGATTTTAAGTCCTCTGGTCCTATGGTGGAAAAGGGGCAGTAGACACCACCTGGAATATGGGACCAACTGTTTATCACCATCATTAGAAATTACGTGGTTAATAGGTATGAGTTGACTACACGTTCTTGACGAGATTAGACTAATCTTAGGGTCTTATTAAAGCCTAAATAATATTTAATGAATACTAACAATATATCCACTTACTTTATACATTTTATTATTTATTTAGAGCAATTTGACAACTTATTTAAATACGTACTAGATTTGACGATGATTTCTACTGACTAATCAAAGTTAGTAGTTTTTTAGTTTTGTATCACTAGAACTACAACGAGAAATAATTAAGGTTAATATTTACTCATTATTATTCTAAAATAAGATACATAATTGAGAAATTGCTGAAAAAATTCCCATAAGCAAAATGTTGTAAATGTAGTAATCATTTATTCATTATAATACTTTTTTTTATATTTGCATATACATATTAAGCATAAGATATTATTATTTTATTGTCCGTAGCTATACAAGATGAACACATTAAATAAAACGCATTTAACGTATTTAAATGCGAACTTAACTAGTAGTAGTAGTTGGTATATTTTTAAATACGAAGAGGATTCCGTAGCGTTGAGCACGTGTCACGGTTGCTCGAAACACGATTTAAACCGTTACCTGCTTCATTTCTGCTATAATTTATAAATAGATATTGAATGTAAATTTAGTCTTTTTTTAACTTATATTTGACGGTTTAATAATTTAAACTAACGGTAATTTGTTTTTACATTTAAAAATATTGTTTTGTGATGATAAATATTTCTTAGAAATTAAGAAGTGCAGTAAGTCTGTCTAACGACTAAGTAGATTATACTGTTTCTCTTGAAGCCCTATTGATTTTAATAATTTCGTTTCGACATTCAGACACAAAGTTGTGCAAGATGAGTTCAACTATAAAAACTTAGTAAATATAGATATTTAATAATACTAACCCACTACCACAAACACGACCACCAGGTACTCTTTCATGGTGTACTAATGAATATATTTCACGATTATTTATTAAAGAACATAAAAAAAATAATTACTTTCGTTAATTACCTTTTCAAGGAGGTGTCGCAATAATTCAGTAGTGTTCGCCATGTTTGTTTTTCTCCTGTTGGCGTCTTGTAAGTTTTGAATAATATTTAAGCTCTATACTAATATATAAAGCTGATAAGTTTGTTTGTTTTATCTTTGTGGGGTCCTGGGGCTGCAAAAACGGTTCAATATACTCAAAAAATAAGTTTGAAAGAATGATGTCTCTCTGAATGATGTAAATAAATGTCCGCGATAGTATATGTCTATCTTTTAAGATTAACTCGCAAGAACGACGGGATGCGGATGACGTCTTGGGTACAGTGGTCATTTATAAATATGAGGAGGTTTGCATATATAAGTTTCGATACCTAACATAATAATTCTACGCGGACGAAGTCGCTGACACAGCTAGTAATAATATTTAGTAAGGCTTTTGTAAATACTGTCTATAGTTTACGCGAGTAGTACACATTTAAATAAAACACTTTAACGGTTTAAAACGCGATATATTAGTTAGACTTATTTGAAAATGATTTTTAACTTCCGCCCGACGTTTCGGATGCTTTGCAGCAGCCGTGATCGTGGTATTGAAGTTTAATCGCGTTTCAGATTCAGAGTGGATCCATGACAATATGAAATCACTTTATAAATTTTAAAACACGTTAGACTTCGAATCTGAATAGTAAATGGGTGGTAGGAATATCGAGAATCTGTCCGGGTCATAAACCACCGTCCACAGATGAAAAACCGTCAAGTTTAGCTACGTCCCGGTTCCAGAGAGGATTGTTCAATATCCAAATCCAAAATAGGTCGATAGCTATGGCTGGGATGTTCCCCTACCATCAATAGAATCCCATACTTGTCTATTCCCAGCTGTTGCAAAAACCTCGGTTTAGAATAATAGAAATTAATTTAAAAAAATTCTAGGTTCGGTCTGTGCTTATGCAAAGTATAATATAGGCCCAGAAGAGATAAAGAATAAAGATTTAGAGCATTGGGCTAGACGCCTTATGCATAGACATCTCAATAACATGACGGCAGAAATTGTAAAAGGTACGTCAAAGCAGCAGCACGGGTGGCGGAGGTTTTGGATTCGAGTCTCACTCTCAACTTCGAGTTTATTCCATTGGACATAGATGTTTACTTTGATGGCGGGCTTCTTGTTGAACAGTCTGGGTAATAATCAACAGGTGGAGGGTTCGATCATCACCGAGTTCAACTCAATTCATAATTTTTCTGAAACATGTTGGACTTCGTCTGGAAATCAGATTATCAAATGCGTGGTAGGAATATGGTAACTCCGTCGGTCACTAATCACCGACCACAGATGAAAAAGCCGTGAAACTTATCCGAACATCCAAAGCCAAATTAGGTTGATATTACCACCTTTTAATCTGTTATCTGTTAACACCAGTGTCTTGCCTGTCCTACTCTATCATTAAAAAATAATCATATTGCAGATGCGCATTTGAAACTAAAGCATGCTGATAAAATCCAGCAAGAACACAAAGGCAGTATAGGATATGAGCTGGGCACCATAGCAGCTGGTATTCTAGAAAGATTCCTCTTCATGCTCAAGATCTACAGAAGGTTATCCAACATGGAGGACATCAAGAAGAAGAAGGAGCCAGTGGGCCAGTTCACAGATGCCTTGCAAGCTATGCGTAAATAACATAGACAGAAAATAAAAGAAAATTTAGTTAGAAGTTAAGAAAAATTGAACCGGCTTCCATGTTTCGTGCTGTTTTTTTTCTGAGGAATCGAATCTTTACCGACGCCCCAGCCTGGCCACATTATGTGGCGGGGGAGTGTGGGGCTTAGCCCACGAGAGAGAGAGTTAGTTGCCCTTGACCCAAAGTGTGTTGCGCCGTATCTGAAGCGCATCCACAGTGGTGGCAGGAGGCAGTTCCGTGCTGTTGCTCAAACCAATTATAACTAGACGACAAGCAGACAAACATACAGACAAGTTTAGCACATTTGAAAACTTTATTATTTTTAACATTTTATTGCACATGAAGGCATATATAATTTAAAAATCGAAAATAAATTGAAAAAATTTCGACTCGGGCAGGACTTGAACCGGCATCGTCAGCGTTCCGTGCTGTTGCTCTACCAACTAAACCACGGAAACAGCACGGAACGCTGACGATGCCGGTTCAAGTGAACTCCGCGCTTGTGTTCCTCAATATTTTTAGATTATATGACCAAAACTTTTACAGTTGGCACCTACAACGAAATCATTATGGAGAAAGCAATGTTCTTCGATACGCTGAAGCGATTCGAGAGCATAGACCCCGACCAGGTGGAGAAAGACCGAATCTTACGCCTGATAAGCAGGAAGCCGTCGGTCTTCAAAAACAGGATCTTCAGGCGTTCGGGGATTTGGAACCCGGCTGAAGAGCAATTTGATATTATTGATTGAAACTGGATTATACTGGTTTAGCTAAAATATGAATTATTATTGTTATTATTTTCTACTATATTATCGTCGTTCTTGCGAGTTAATCTTAAAATGTCTTTCAAGACTATACTTATATTATATACTAGCTGGCCCGGCGAACGTTGTTTTGCCATATATATAATTTTAAACTAATTAAATGACGATTGATAAGTTTTCGATCGGAGAGGAAAAATGATTACATTACTAAAATGGCTATTAAAAAATAAGGATTGATCGTAGAAGGGTGAAAATTGAGGATTGTATGTATTTTTGTATGATGTATCATAAAAAAATAATAAATTTAGGGGTGGACTACCCCTAGAATTTAGGAGGATGAAAAATAGATGTTGGCCGATTCTCATAGATACCGGATAACACAAATTTTTTATCAAAATCGGTCAAGCCGTTTCGGAGGAGTATGGCAACGAAAACGGTGACACGAGAATTTTATATATTAGATATACTGTATACTGATTTTTTTGATCATTCATAGAAGATTTATTTTTTCATACATATTTGATGGTTTCTTGAACCGTTTTTTTTTTAATTTTGTCCCTATTGGCCTCAGCCTGATGTTGAAGCCTTTTTCGTTAAATGGGCCAACCAACACAAAAACAATTCATTTCAAACCAGTAGTTCCGGAGATAAGCGCATTTAAATTAACAAACACACTTTTTTGTAATACTGGTGTTTACCAGAGTACTTAGATATTGTAAGTTTTAGAGTACAACTTTATTTTGTTCCCTATAGCGACTTAAAATAAAATCTTGTTAGAATAATATTTCTTAATGATTTTGAACCTATATAAACCGATTTGTAACAGTTTAAAACGCAAGCTATCTGCTTGTAAATATTAAACGAATAGATGTAACAAATTGTATGGCACAGTACGCGAACCCACGTACCAATACATCAATAATACTAATATATAAATCTGAAGAGTTTGTTTGTTTGTTTTAACGCGCTAATCTTCGAATTCAAAAATTATTTTTGTGTGTTAGACATTTATGGAGGAAGGCTATAAATAGCGCTGTCACTAATAGAAGCGAAGGTACAGCGGGAAATGTGAACAAAACGGGGGAAATTTTTCAACTCTGTGGGTTTCAGATGGGTACGCTGCGAAAACAGTGCACCCAAAAAATATGTATGAAAGAATGATTCCTCTCCTTTCCTCGGCGCTATATGTCTATCTATCCTTTAAGATTAACTTGTAAGAACGACGGGAAGGGACGCGATCGGCGTTCTGGCTAGCTGCTTAAGTTAAGATAAAGGGATTTGCAGAAACGAATTTGGATGCGCAAAATAAATATTCTTAGCGGACGAAGAACGTGGTCATAGATTTGATTTTAAGCCGTTTTTTCACATTTTTAGAAGGGCTTCAAATAGACTATATTAACGATTAATAGTGTTACTAACAATAAAAAAATAATTCTTTCTTACGCTATTAATGAAGATTTAATTGCATTCATTAAGTTTTAATAATGTAAAATGGACGTGTTATAATGTGTTTGAAAAAACAATTTTTCATTCTTTGCAATAAAATATTTAGTAAGTATTTTTAATGTTTAAATAAAACACTTTAACCATATAAAACGCGATATATTAGCTAAACTTATTTGAAAGTTATTGCCAGCCATGCCAGTAGCAGCCGTGGTCACGGGGAGACAGAGTTGAAATAGCCACTTGTATTTAAATAAAACAATTTAACGGTTTAAAACGCGATATATTAGTGAAACTTATTTGAAAATGATTTTTAACTTCGGCCCGACGTTTCGGATTCTATGTAGCAGCCGTGGTCACGGGGAGACTGTGACTCCCTAATATATCGCGTTTTAGACTGTTAAAGTGTTTAATTTAAATGTGTACTACTCACGTAAACAATAGACAGTATTTAGCCACTTGTAAATAAAACACTTTTATCGGTTTAAATTGCGAAAAATAATGGTTACCCTGTTTTATATTTATTTTTGCCCTACAACGATTTAGTGGACTAGCAGCTGGTAATGAAAATAATTTCGAAATAAGTTAACTAACATATTTCGCGTTTTAATCCGTTTAAAGTATGTATTATAAATAAAATTCACAATTTCTTACTTTTGAATGTTAACACTCCTACGATTCATTAAATGTCTAGTGTTTCAAGGTGTCTAATGTGTTTAAAAGAAATAGAATCTTACAATTACAATAGTTTTTAAACGAACTTTTTACCATTGTCTAAGTCCTAAGGTAGGCTTTGACAAACTGATAAACCTTACTTCTTTATAGTTTTATCCTTAATAACCTCCTCTGTTGCTGAAAATAAGGATGACGAAGTCCCATCTTATGTTGAAGCAATGAAAAAAGACATGACAAGTACTCTTTACACACGGTTCGGTATGAAATCAAAAGGTAAGTATTAATTTTTTTCATGACACAGGAGTATGCTTGGCTGTAAGCATACGGTTTACACGTTGGTATGTGAAATACCGTACATGTACATGTAAACTACCTATTGTGGCTTTGGATATTCGGAAACCACAGACTGAAACCGAGAGACGCGATCAAACAGCTTTTTCATCTGTGGACTGGAATTTCAATATTTCTACCATCCATTTAATATCTAGCTTTCCAGACGAAATCCAACATGTTTCAAATATAAAATTGTAAAATTAGAATCACACTGTCTATAGCTTACGCGAGTAGTACACATTTAAATAAAACACTTTAACGGTTTAAAACGCGATATATTAGCCGCAGTATATATTATTTGCAGCAGCCGTGGTCACAAGGAGACCACGGCTGCTGCAAAGCATCCGAAGTTAAAAATCATTTTCAAATAAGTTTAACAAATATATCGCGTTTTAAACCGTTAGAGTATTTTGTTTAAATTAGAAATATGTTGGACCTGGTGTTGATCGAACCCCACGACCCGTTAATACAGCCTATTAGCCATAAGTCTTATTGGGGTAATGTAGCAATCCGTGCTTGTCCGTCGTCCTCTATAATTAAAAAAATGTGAAACCGAATTTCGGTTGGAAGCGGTA